ACTATGATTCTTCTAGATACACGTCGGATTGAACCTAGATGCATGTGTGACATATTACTATCCTTGTTTTACATCCTTACGACGACTTTCCTACTTCACTATCATGGTAAATCAAATTTTAAGATTTTGTGCAGTTTGGCTTAACCGAAGCTCATGACAATAAGAAACTCCTGTCAAAATTAGATTTTTGTCAAAAATTACCTGTAGCAGTGTGTTACTTCAGCGATCAATTTGTGGAAGTTATGCATCGAGAAGAACTAGCATGATTTTTATCGGCAAACAAGGTCCAAATGTTGTCGATGTCGTATTTTAGGCTGCTAAGAGCCACATACAGTAATGATTTCCAACTTTGGCATTCAAAGTTTCTACATTAAAAGTTTAAGAGTCCAGTTCGTGGAAATTATATTCAAGGGGGAATCTAGCAAGACTTCTGGACATTATTATTCAAGTGAAACAAGTTTTAAATACAAATTCGTGGACAGGAGTACTCATACCTATATGCATATGATATGTCCGAATTCAAGTTGAGTTAGAATATATGAATCCAAAGTATGCAACTAGGTACTGAGATCAGATAGATACCATATATCTTTCATGACGACAGTTAACCGACAATTTTTCCTTCTTAAAAGGAAACATGTTTTTTTAAAAGTACCCTGTACAGTCTACAGTCTATTTGAAATGCTGGCAAAGATATTTGCACACATAATTTCCTAACCTAAGATATAATCAGGTTCGATCATGATATTTAAATGTATGTCTCTGGTGAACTCCGAGTTCAAAAGTTCAGGTTATGAATAGAGAAAAGTGAAAAGAGCACTGTGATTATTGAAATCCGTATTTCAGAAATCACACTGATGGCATCGTTAGAGGTACAAAACCCAATACGTATCAGCTATCGGAAGCCAATGATTACAGTAAGGAGCGTTGCAAAATGCACGAGAACATATCTACACTGCTTAGTATTTTAGACACTGTGAAAACTTACTTAAATTGTTCGTCTGGGTCCTCTAGTCTTTAAACTCTAGCCATTTATTGAATCAGTTCCCTATAAGCGTACTGCGTTAAAATATAACAGGCAGACTTATGTATACCACCGCAAACTTCGCCTGCATGTGCGGGATCAGCCCAAGCATTGAATCTAACGCACTACTCCAGTAGTAGTACAACTTATGGAGAACACATTCCTAAAGTTTCGAGTCTGGTTGGAAACCAAATGGATTTAACCACAACGCCTCACCTTGACCCTCAATAAGTGTGATGTTGTGAGTATACTGAGGGTCGAGTGAGGGTGCAGAGTAGTATTATTAGGCTCACCACTCAGACAAGTGGATTATATATGAACATGGACCTGGGTACTCGTTGCATTGGTCAAGTTGGAGGCAGAGGCCTCCAATTTCATGAAAGTAAAGACAACCATAAGCAAAAATATGAACATGATGAGAGGTGAGAGGAATCGGAGGGGTGAGTTTAGAAAGAAAAGACAAGGTAAACGAATACCTCGATTGGGGCAAATAAGGGGGTATTCTTAGGAATCTTCGTATACCCCTTGGTTCATAGACGTTACAGGAAGCGAGGGAGGATGGAATGCAGTTTGTGAGCCACTGCCATTAGCACAAATGAAGCTAGAACCATACAAAATTTGACCGTAAATCTATGCGATCGGTTCCACTTTTGTTGATATCCTTCTTATAAGCAAATCTACGTTGGATCATATGTCGAGATCTTTTTGCGACGGCAAAAAGTATGTTGATGAAGCATTCAAGTTAGTCATTCTCAAAGTAAGTTTTTCTCTGGAACCCACTTCATGTACTCTCATTTCATGTATACAGAAGGAAAAAGTTTATAAATTTCAAATTCTATAAAATGTTAGATGCCTCCATATCCATGCGTTGGTTTGGGCTTTGAGTGTATTCAATGTATCCACATTTATGTTTTTCTACAGACATGTACTCCCGAGTCATCTTCTTTTCATGGCTAATGCTAAAACCAAAATCAATACAAAAGGCTCGAAACTTTTTAAAAGACGTCTATGAAATGTACAAGGAGCCGAAGAATCAAACGCATGTTCTAGCATTTGTGAAGTCAACGTTACATATAATATACGGGTTTATGTCAGTTTCACCGGATACGCTACTTCTACTTGATGAGAGAATCTTTGATTATACTTTTGCCGGCAACTCTCGAGTTTCCAACGATTACTTTATGATCGTATTGAGATCTTGAGGTAAAAAATGTATTTCTCAATCCACTTCTGTATTTTTGGTAAATATAGAAGTGCTGCCAAGTTGAAGCAATTATCATCCAGGGGGCGTGCAACACAGTAGATCATCCGCAAGATGAATGATTTGAGTACAGTCCTCTATGTTTGAATTTTTTTAAAACCATCATGAGTCAACGCATAAAAGATCCTGATAATCCACTGCAACAAATTTAGAATAAACAACGGTTTATTTGTATCCACTAGTTCTGCGGGAGCTAGTGAATGTCTTGTGGGCATCCAACTGCTACAAGAGAATAGAGTAGAGTGGTGTAAGTACCTGCCACTCTCACGTTAGAGGTAGCTTGATTCCAAGGATTGATCTATCGCTCCGGGCGACAGAGACCGTACCTAGTGCATAGTCTGCGGTTTCTTCAAACCTTATCATAACGTAGAAAGTGGCAAAGTCATAAAAAATTCAGCTGTTACAATTGTTCTCCCGATGTGACCTTCTTACAACAAGTACTCTTTGGCGCTAGAGGTTATGTGAGTCCGGAGACTTCTGAGATATCAAATCCGGAAGTCAGGCATGTATTTTCTCTAAGTATGACGGCTATGTATGTAGAAAGAGGCACTTAAAAAATCACTCATGCACAGCATGCATGTGTTACATCTGGTGATTATTATCTTTGTGCATTTTGTTACCTTCCGTTTCTTCCGATTTCATCATCATTGTCAAGTTCTGAAGCGTGAGATCTATTGAAAAGTACAGCATACGTATGTACTTATGACTGCTAGCTGCTACCGAAAGCGGCATAGAGTTCTATGATGGACTGGCGGTGCCTAGCTTATACTCCAAGGGGGCATCCGACCCGTCTGAGTTCCATAATCAGTTCGATCTTGTGCCGAAGGAGTGAACATGGTACCGCACGTTGCGTAGCAGCTGTGCCAGAATCATAAATGCATGCAAAGTCTGTAAGAAAGTGGTCGATCGCGCATCACGTAATCGTCGATGCTGGCTCTTCAGTAAGGCTGTCTGCTCGTTCAATGCATATTCTTCTTGACGTTAGGTGTCGAACGAGTGATCCCATCCCATCCGGTCTAAGCATGCTGATCAAGAGTCAAAGATCATTCACCTGGAGAGTCGAGCACGATGTACTGCAGGTGCTGAGGAGTTCCTTGTATTGGAGATGAATGCGTGCCCCCCAGCTGTAGTGGAATCGGTTTACAAGTCTGGCCCTACCAGCTTTGCTTACCGCGTTGTTGAAAGAGTTGACATTTTCTGCTCGCCTCGATCGGGACGAGGGAACAGATTCAGAAAGGGCCAGTAGAGCATGGATGAACGTATCAGGCAGCCAATTGACATTATATAATGATTTGGAGGAGGCAGTGTAGTAGTACTGCGAGGAGACAGAGAGTTGTTGATGAGTACCATAAATTCGCAATCCTCCTGAAATAGAAAGCATGCTGTCATGTTGGCCCAGAGGAGGCCTGTGACATTCTTGACATGTTAGATGAGGTTGCGTTGCTTGAACTGTACCCTCGATAATCTTTGAATTCACGCTTGCAAAAAAAGGCAGGTTTCCGGCACAGCCACAAAGCCGTACAAAGCCATAGTTTGCGCTCAACTATAGCAGTAGCAGAAGTCAATGGAAGCACAGGTCAAGGGTGGTCAGCGTGGCTCTGCGGACAGCCATGCTGTTCAAAAGTTTTCAGGCCGGAGGATGCAAACTAAAAACGAACGGCTTTTCCTTCTGGGGAGCCACGAAAGTACTCCCTCGCACGAGGGTTGAATAAGTTTTCTACGATTTTCCGAAGATGTAGTGATTTGATACAGTACATAGCTTCTCCATTCACACATAGCTTCTTGGATCAAACATGCCCACGTACTATCCGCACTGTTCTCACGAGATCACATCGATTTCGAGGTAGATATCGATTTCATATCTTCTGTAACGCCTTCCTCGCCGTGCTGTACACGTCGATCTTCATCGTCGTACTGCCGCTCTAAAGTAGCCTTGAAGGTTGTCAAGTATTATCCTCCCATAAACAAGTTAGCTTAACGAAGGCTCTTCGAATCCACACTTCTTCCACGTTCATCCAATTTACGCTTGAATTGTCAAGATTCTGTACCAAGTTCATGTATACGCAGCAAGGCCTACATAGACCTACACCCTACGTAGACATACGAGGTAAGACAAGTACAGAATTTACTGCTCTGTTCCTGCTCCTGTACATCGAACAATTATTCGAGTCTCTGATGAAGAGCCCTTCGGGCACTCGATCGTACTCTGCCCAAATCGAGCTGTCTGTGAGGCTGGTGTTAGAACTGAAGACACCTCCTAGATATCGGGTTCCAAATTGCAGCTACCCAGGCAACTCCATACATACTGTCGTCATCGAGCTTGCCTTAATTAGATTGTTGCAATATCAAGGATCGACGCAGTAGACAAGCTGTATGTGTGTGTGTGCGCGCGTGCGCGTGTCTATGTATATATACACTTTGACTCGAACTCGACGTATACAAGACAGCTTGCAGTCCATTGAGTCCCTGGGCAGCCATAAGAGAAAGAAATGACGACACTACTGTACTGTTATCCTTGGACACCGTAAAAATGATTGCGATGATTAACACGAAGAGTAGAAATTAATCCATCCGCGGATACGGGTACGGATTGATAGCAAATCTGAAAGTTCCGCAGCGGAAGGCAGCGTGAACCACCAAATCTGAACTCCATCTGTACAACGAAATGCACTTGCAGTTACAAACTTAGAAGATGGAACGGAAGAAAGTCCAGGTAAAAATGTTGATCTTGCGATGCATTGGCATTTTGAAAGGCAAATTAAGCTGAGCGGTAATACAAGGCTTCACAGGTTTCAGCCTCCGGATACATGTAACATTATGCTAACTAGCAATGACACTGCTGTACAGCTTATAAGAATGTACAGTGGGAAAAGCTCACGGGTGGCTATAGGTATACCCGTGGCTTATGTATCCTCTTCATCGTCTAATTTCCCAGAGCATTACGGTAGGTGTGGTCATTATCAGCGGTGCCGCGCTGCGGTTGACTTCCACTTTATTGCTAGTGCAGGATCCAAAATCCAGCTTTACGTTTGGAAAGAGTCATAGCATAATGTCTCAATACTAGCGTATGAGCCGTGCTGTCATCCTTAGAACTGCTCCCGATAGAGGTCTCAAGGCACCACTTGCAACGAGCTCGGACGAATTGCTCAGAGTCTGAGGCCGACTTAGAATTCTCTTACACTCTTGCCTTTCCAGAACTCGGAGCGGCTCAAAATCTTCTTGGCCTTTCTCAACACGGCCTCGGGCTTCGCAGTGCCTCTGATAGTCACCTTCTGCTTCTCAGTATTGCACTCGACAGACGCCACGCCGTCCATGTCGGTGAACTTCTTATGAACTTTCTCCACGCAGCCTTCACAGCACAGCGGCATCCTCAACTCCACGACCCCTCTCCTGGTCTCGTCCCTGTAATCCTCCCTTCTCGGAGCATATGGCGATGCGCTTTGTTTGTACTCTTCCCTTCTCTGGCCTTGTTGCTTGTAGTCTTCCCTTCTGAGAGCGCTCGAAGATGCCGGAACTTGTCTGGACTCGTCCCTGTCCCTCCTGGGAGCTTCGTCTCTGCCCAGAACCCACGACTGGTCGTAGCCAGAGTACCATGGAGCAGGAGTGTAACCACGATACATTCGCTGCAAGCAATACGTAAGGCCATGGTTAGATGTAGGTATGACTGACACCATTATGCAGTAAGTACACATTACCGCAATAGTGCTTTGACAATGCATGAACACAAATAGATTTCACTCTGCGGTCATAGATGCAAAACAGGAAAGTTCACTATACCTCATATTGATTCATGGCCATAGTTCGAGATATAGTGAAATAGATTCGAATTCCTCGCAGTGCTGTCTGCTAGAGTTCTGAAGGCGGACTAGGCAATGTTGGGGTGGTAGGTAATGTTTCTTGCTAATACGGGAGTTCAAGGTTTTGCAGAGCCAGCAGGACCGATTTTAGGATCGATTCAGCTCTCTATGTGTATATATAGCCGGAGGTTTTGAGAGAGCTGAATGCAGATCCTTTGCGCAAGGTGGAGTACCCAAGCGCACTGGATTTGCAAGGCACACTGCGGTCCAATTTATGCATGCGCAATAGAAGGAGAAATCTTGACCCTTTGTGGGTTGGTTCGCATGTCGTAATTGGGAGATCGGCCCATGCCCCGTAGGTGAGCTTCTGACATTGCATTTCATCACATACAAGTGCTGAAGATGTACAGTGGTCGTGATCTCCTCCTCAAAGCGGGGAATATTGCCATGGAGTTCCAAAATAACGAACTCGGTTCATGATCTGGGGCCCATGGGCATGGCCAGGAGCTGGCACCGCCAGGCAGGCGGTAAGACACCTCGTCGTCTGTAGTCAAAGTCTAGCACTAAGTTACAAACTTTTTGCTGTATTACTTGGCCCCCCTTACTATGTCTATAGTTACAAAGTTTTTACTTTCTTCAGATATTTGGGACCTTAACTACTACGTTGGACTGCACACGATCCTCTGCATCAGACTACGCACATATGCATTTGCAAGGAGCTCGGATTTTGATCGTATAATATCACTCCAAGCTCATACTGGTTCTCATGCTTGATCGATCATGCCTGGGTATTTTCTTAGCCGCAAGGACTATGTTTTGACTGGCGAATTCACGTGTACGTAGGGGGCATGTGCCACCTGGGCAGGTGGTTCAAGTGGTTCAAGTGGAATCCTGTGCCGCCTGAGGACTAGAACCACTCACATCTGTAGCACAGTGAGTCTCAGGTACGTGGGAGGGACCGTGCATTCGGCCACCTTTGGAAACACGCAGCCCATGACATAGATTTTTGGGTTGGACCTATCTCCATCATTAGATTGCGGACAAACATTTCCCCTATACGTTCACATATCCGAGGAAGGTGGGGAGAGTTGGTGAGATTTTAGTTGAACTTTGTGCAAGCACGACACTCACAGAATGAGTGAAAGGCCGAGCTCATAATCCAAGTTTACTGCTCCACCACCCCAGGTGCTCAAAACAACATAGTTTCCATGTGTATCATTGGTTTGCAATTCCGATGCTCTTCTTCTTGCATATGAACCAAGGTTTTCCAACTGTTCCACCATACACTAAGCTCAGAGCAAACACCTTGCTTGTCCAAGTTCGAAACGCGCTCTCCTCTCCGTCCAACACCCAAGTTCAATGCTCCACAATTCGTTCAACTTCCGGCATAGTACTTGCAATATTCAGAAAGTAAGCTCGCAATTTTGAGCAGAGACCAATAAAGCTACTTCCGTGTCTCCGAAGTCTAATTACTGTGAAATTGGTTACAGTCGCAAAGTATGTTTGAAGCTCACCTTCGAGATGATTCTGTGAACAAGATCTAATCTTGAACTCTAAAACTTTTCTTGGCAAATTGTCGTTGAGAACACTGTCAGTTTTGAAGATGGAGAGTATGGTTCAAATACGCTATCGAAGTTTGTATCGAAAACTCAGACCTTGTAACACCATAAAAGAGGACGTGATGTGGAGTACATGTTCATATCTTGTGTGTGAGTAAATATCATGGGAAAATGCCTTTCCTTTCCTTTCCAATCCAAACAGCTGCATATGCAGTTCTCAAGCTATGATAGCTTTGGCAGCTTCGTTTTCTGCTCTTATTGTAATCTGCAAAATGTTCCATTTAAATATATCCTTACGCAGTAATGTTCTGAATGGAACTTTAAGATAGGTACCATGTCTTGATCAACCCAAGTTTCAATAGTTGATTTGTAAAACCCGTCCATCCAATTTATAATCATCAGCTTATGTGGCTGCCAGTTCAACCAGTAAGCTCTTGACGGGTAATTCGACACATGCAGTCACTTAAAGCCATAATCGGAAATGTGATAATACAAGACTATTTCTGATATCATTCACGGTGTGGAAACACAGGTGAAAAGTATGTAAATTGAGCGGGAATACATTGGATCCATTCCATGAAAGGAGCATTGTATGGAGGAGATACCATGAGTGGGAAGTGAATGTGATAGTGTCCAACGAAGTCACACTTGGTCTCAGAAGTTCTGGTCCGAATTGAGATATGCTGATTCTCGCACAGTATCGCATGCAAGATCGCAATGCAAAGGAAGGAGTTGAAAAGAGTCAAGAGTGGAAAAGTAAAAGCACAAAGAGCTGCAGAATGTATACATACAGAGATTACAACGAGAAGAAAACAAAATTTGTGTTCTAACGGGCTGAGGCACAGATTGATCGAATCAATGGTATAGGATATAGAAACTCCGCATGTGCCGCTCCTGGATGTAAGAAACTACGGCACGCAGTATCCGCTGAAGCAGCAGGTGTAAAATACTAAGCGGTATTTCGACGGGAAAGGATGTTATCTCCATCGGTGTGGTGAATTATCGCTTCCTTAGTGCAGATCTGAATTCAATGTATTTTTAGTTGACTTCGAATTTACTCGATTCACCAGCCTAGATATTGCCGAGTCACAGTGCAGACTAAATCTCCAAGTTAACAAGAGACAAGCAGAAAGAGATTGTTCACAAGTGCTGTTTTCCTTCTTGGGGATTTCAAAATGGGCTACATGACAAAGATTAGGGTTCATGTCTATGAATTGGAGTGGCAAGAGATGTATGTTCATCTGTGCTACAGATTATCCAGTCAATGAGATTAAAAAAGGTGAAATTAGAATTGAGAGTGAGGATATCCAAGATGCTTTGAGATTGGAGACAATTTTTGTAGACCGAGAGATATAGAGCTGAAGATGCAAACGAGAAGCTAAAAATCTACTTTTAATTGATCTATAATATCTAACTAATATACCCAAAATACTGGAGATATTTTGAAGTTGAATCAGGATTTAAGTACATAGGCGATATGTTCAAAGGATGAAAAACTTTCGAGATAATTTCGATGGCTGTAACATGTTTAACATTTCTTCAGATAAGAACCGGACCTCAATAAGGAAAATCTGAACGTCTAATTGTGTTGAACCATTTGAGCGAGCTGCTTATTCAGTCTTGGATATCCCACATGATCAAAGATTGATTGGTTGATTTAGTTCTGAGCTTAAAGAAAGAAATTATACCCATATGTATAGAACCAGTTATATAATGTATTCAATGTATACTGATTGAAAAGAAAAGCGTGAATTTGCAATAGCAGTTTATGAGCACAAGTTTTGCAAATTTGGTGCTGAAATTTTCTTCCTTGAATGTACCATAATAATATAATCAATTTTGATCAAACGTATGAATTGTGAATAATGATTGTAAGTTCAGTAAATAAGAAATTTCTTAATATAAATAAATTATCTTATTTGATTTCAGAATTTCATTGAAGTGGTATATTCAATACTGAATACATTCATAATATATCATAATTCAAATTCGAGTGAGATAGTTATAATTTCAATACTCTTGAAAAATAGTCTATTTAATTCCATGAAATCAAAATTAATATAAAGTATCAAAAAAGTCACGCTCTTCTTTATGATTAACTACTGATTCAATAGTATTATAAACAAGCAATTCACTACACCACTATATGCATAATTGATAACATTCAAAAGTCATAAAACCTTTCAAACATAAACAATAGGTTTGAAAACCGTTTTCAATTGAAATTTAAATCACTTTTGAAAGTTACACTACGCAATTGTATCACAATGTGTATGCAATTCTTGGCAAAGAATATTTTCAGTGGCAATACACCAAGCTGTTTAAATCATACGACATCATAACAAGAGAAAGATAGGTGAAGTGAAACAACAAGAAAATTTTATGTGATGCAAAATAATATCAAATTTTTCTTCCTTTAGTACTATTGTGTAGCATAACAAAAAAATGTTATTTTCTTGTTAGAACATACTTAAACAGATTTGAATTGACTTTTTTTCTTATTTGTATGTCATGCAAGAACATACAATTGTATTGAATAAACATGTGCAAGTTAACCAGAGACAATAAATTTTACTGTAAAAGGTGTGAATGTTGAATCTCAGATAGTGTGTACATCAAGACTTAAATATGTTTGGATAAGAAACTGCCATGCACGTGTTCAGCTGAAAAGCATTTTTAAGCTTTATAGATAATAAGAAAATCAAGAGCAGGGCAAAAATTAATCCTCTGTTTTTTGAATGTTTATACTGTATAATGTGTTACAATGAAAAGAGTTAAAGCATATTTTCATTGTAACACATTTCATTTTATTCGAATTCACTTAGAATTTTCTCCTTAAACCTTCTCTTTTCTCAAAAGATTTAATACTCTTGCCTATGTTTGTTACTAAAATGCAATGTTGTAAATCATGTTTCATTCTGTACCTGTTGAAGAATTGATTGATCGATCTTTACCCATTATCACAAATATTTATAAGCAGCCTAAGTCAAGAAGATTTTCTAAAAGAATCTTCATGACTTCAAATATAATCTCACAATTTACATTTTGAACATACATCTATTTACTAAAGAGCTGCAGTTAGTATAATTTAGGCTGGAAACTATTTTCTACAATAAATCAAACAATCCTAGATTAGTAAAAGTTTTATACCTTTACAAAGCATGTCCTAAATCATAGTTTTTCTGGCAAGAGTTCAAAATAGTGATTACAAATATATAAATCAGGTCTGAAAATAGATATGCCATGAGCTCTTTGATAAAGTTATTGAGTACATGTAGTAAAAACATTGAGGTATCACTTGGATTACAAAGACTAATGTTTATCGGAAAGGTTTCATCCTCGCACATGATGATATTTTCTCTTAAGAGAGTTGGATTCATATCAGCAAAAGAAAATGTAGGAATTTAGGATTGAAATTTTTGGAGAAAATTCTGTTGACATGCATTATAATCTTCATTCGTAGGCAAAATAAATGAAAATTTTCAAAACATTCATCTCTGTCGATGTGTCTCTAGTCTAACCGGAAACATATATTTGCATATGAAAGATAATTTGTATACACACTAAATATTACACGGTTTTCGTCAAGATATCTTATATAACTCAAACTATTATATATGCGTAAATTGATGTTAAGAGAAATAATAAAAATTTAAATATGCTCGAATTGTTTTTTCTCAATTATTTTCCTCTCCTGCACCTGGAAGTGTTGAAGTTTCTCATTGAATACAAAAATTTAATTGGACTGATGAAATGTGAGAACTATCTCGCTCGATCTTTTTATTTT